GCGGGGGGGAGCCCGGCCAGGTCGGCCCCGGCCAGCAGAAGCAGTGGCAGAGCTGTGTGCCACTCAGGATGGGACAAGCCCGGTCGGAGCAGCAAGGGCTGAGCTGCATTTTCCCCCTGCCTGCCCTGGTGAGTCCCGAGCGGCACACGGCTCCCCCGCCGCTTCTGCTGGCTGGTACCAATCTGGCCAGGCTCCTCCCATCCCCAGCAGCACATGAGAAGCCAGCTTCAGCTGCATACCGCTTTTCCTGGCCAGTGCTGACCCAGCTGGGTGTGTCCCATCCACAGCAGCATGAGGCTGAAGCCGGCTTCCCACGAGCTACTGGGACGGGAGGAGCCAGTCCAGGTCTGCACTGGCCAGCAGAAGCGGCGGTGGAGCCGTGTGCCACTCAGGACGGGATGAGCCCGGCCAGAGCAGCAGGGGCTCAGCTGCATTTTGCCCCTGCTTGTGCCAGTGAGTCCCAAGTGGCACATGGCTCTGCCGCCACTTCTGCTGGCCGGTGCCGACCTGGCTGGGCTCCTCCCATCCCCAGCAACATGTAGGGATCCGGCTTCAGCTGCATGCTGCTCCAGATGGGACAGACCCGCCTGGGTCGGCCCCAGCCAGCAGAAGTGCCTTGTGCCACTCGGGACTGACCTGCGCAGGTAGGGGGAAAGTGCAGCTGAGCCCCTGCTGCTCTGGCCGGGTTCATCCTGTCCCAAGAGGCACATGGCTACTCCTCTTCCCACATGCACCGCATCGGCAACGTCAAGCTGACGCGGTGCGTGTGGGAACCTTGTCCCTTCCCCAGTCCTTCAGCAACCATTAGGAAGCTGCTGAGGGGCTAGGGGAGGCACAAAGGGTGGGAACGAAAGTAAAATGTGTTTACTTTCATTTCCCGTCGCAGCACTGCAGGCCACAGAAAACGGCTTGGCAGGCTGCGTGACAGCCCGTGGGCCATATGTTGGACAAGTCTGGGCTACATCAATTTGATTTCAAAAATTATTTTTGTCCTGATTTACATGTGTTTGTGAAGTGTACATAGAGGTGATCTCATAAAAGCTTAAAATGAAGTCTTAATTTTGTATATTATTTTGTGGGGGGCTGTGTGGGTGTGTGGGTGTGTGGGTATATGTATATGTGGGATGTGCCAAGACTGCACATGGCCAGACCACTGATAGGGAGAGAGGGGAGCTGGCCTGGGTCCTTACAGCCCCTGCCAGCCTGGGCTCCACGCTCCTGCCACCCTGCCCTGGCCCC